CTATTTTTTATATAATTTGTTATCCCTACCCTTGTATGCTAAAATACAAAGTTGAATACAAAGTGAAATTTTGTTATCTTAGTTATTTTCATAATTAAACGCAATTTGAGAGGACAAAATTTTAATCTAGTATGTGCAACAAAATGCTACTGTTGTTATCTTTCATACTTTATGAGTGCCGCGTACAATATACCGACGATTACGATTTGGGTGCCGAAGCGGCTACAATAGTGTCATCTGACACCGCTCCGTGCGGCTTGGGCGCAAAAGACAGGAAGCTACGGACAAACCGATTGTATGATTTACCCGCCTACGTTATCGGAAACCTGTGATTAGTGTAAAGTACACGGCCACTTGAACGGAAACGGCACGAGTATCGTTGATATTCGATTGGAATTAAATTGATTAAGACAAGAGATTTGGATTTTATATTTTATTTTGTAAAAAGTTTTTATAGGCCATAAGTTTGTGCATAAACAAGAATGAAGAAAATCATCACTACCAACAGGTAATAGTAGCTCTTTTAGAATAGAGAGCAGCTAAATCTTTCGATATAACCTAGTCATACTCGTAGCTATAAAACCGTTTTAACTAAATAAAAAAAAATCATTTTTAATAAACAAAGCGAAAACTGAAATAAACTAAAGTGTTTGAATAAATAATAATTTACTTATAGTAATATAATTAGAATGCACACATATTCATTCATAGAATCAATAAAACGTTCTCATAGCTAGCTAGAGTCGGTGCTTTCTATATATATATCAGTAGGTAATACGGGGACAGAGATAATATTATTGGCACCTGTTATATCAGAATTAATCCAGCTTGGACACACGTGGTCACAAAATTATAGCGACAGATGGCGCAGCGGGATGTGTGATAACGAATCTTAACGAATACAATATTAAGCTATCATAATTAATTATGAAAATTCAATAAAATAATCATAGTTGTTGAATTCCCAAAAAAATATTGCTATTGAAAGTCACGGTTACCCAATATAACTATAGTATATCCAATGGGTCCTCGAATTCTTTTGTCTCGCCTATAAGTAAGGCAGAGTCAAATATGAAACTCAACTGCTTACCGCAACTAGCTAATAAGTCGATAAGAAAATAGAAATGGAGTACTTAATTAATTAACCTTTAATGATTTATGAATTAACGACATTTTATTTACTCAAATTGGAAATACATGTATGTAAAAAGTATCTCAAAATGTAAAGGCCAACCTTCCATCTTTCAACACAAAATGCTTCTACTTTTATCTTTCCGAAACTGGACATTAACAAGTGTCCCATATATAAGATCCAACAGTTTCGATTGTCGGCTAGTTTCATCACATGGTTTATTTTGTAAAATGATTGAGGGTGCATATTTTTTTGTAAGCAAAAAACAGTAGCCTCGAAGATTTATGGCGTGAAGGGAACGATCATAGCGCATTAGTATCCTGTATTGTCCTCTCCATGTGGCTTTTGTGTGACAAGTCGACGGCGAACTGACAGTAGCATCTATCCTACTGTCCCGATGTAAAACGAACACTATCCCACAGCGAAACATTGTTCTTGTAAACATGTCGACAGGTTAAAGCAATTGTGAAAAAAAGTGTACAAGTAATTTATAGTATATACGGACTCCTTAATGTAAAGTATGGAACGGTAGTGATAATTCCCAGAATGCTTTTATTTTCTACCAATAGTGGGACTTTTTATTTGAAATGACTTTTTTTGCCTTTGTAATTAATGTATTTTACGTAAGTATTGTTATTTGAGTTGTAGGAAGAACCCGTTTGAGTAAAATAAAGGAAAGCAGACTTTAAACAAACAATTCCTGGTTTGTATTTGGTATTCTTCATGACGAGTAATAAGTTTTTGTGGTTCCGTACCACAAATGGAAAAAGAGAATCCTTAAAGTCATGTGTAACTGGGGTTTTTAGGTTGAAGTGTATGTAACTGGAGACTGAGGAAAACACTTAGAATGTTTATAATTACTGTTTTAACCTAACTTAACCAAATGTTGTACTCTGTGTCCTATACGATAAAATCGAAAAACAGCAGGTCTTTTTTTTCCTCAGTTAAAATTAAAAGACCATCAGAAAATGGTAAACAAGAAGCCTATGGTTTTAAATTTAATATTTTTGCGGAAGTCTTTGGTCGGTTTATCCTAGTTCATTAACGCAGAGGGTAAAGAGAAAAGAGTATCTATCTATTATTGTGCCTAAACAAAAACTATTTTAATAAATTACCTATCCGCAAATCATGATTATTATGAAAGTATTTTACATCTTTATTATTTTTCTCCCTATTAAAAGAGTACAATTCAGAAAGTAAATTCTAAAAGAAGAAACAGGGGTAAATTTGTTTCTTTTTCTAACGAAAAAATTTATCACTTCAAATGACTGACAAGATTTAAAAATATAATGTATCTTCTCATTTTTAGTTACAGCGTGATTGGAAGTTTTTCTTAATAAGAAATCAATCAAAAATATTTTAAAATTTAAAACAGTTTTTATTTAATTAGCTAAGTACATATGAGTATTATATATTATAAATAGTAAAATTATTATTGGATATTTAATAACTAAAGAAACATCAAAGAACTTGTAATCATTATCACACTGTTATCTAAAAAGGATTGAGAAGGGGTTTAGATACTTTTAATCATAATATTTATATTTTTAATTTTTATGTCAGTACAATACAAATCATAAAGTTTAAAAACTATAATGTATAAATTTAAATCAGAAAACAATAATTTTAAATTCGTAATTCCGTCCGTCAGAACAGAACACACAATTAGATAAATAAAAAATATATTATATTATAGCGGCAAAAGGAAACGTTAGTCCTCTTTAGAGAGCGGCGTTTAAAACAAAAGCACGGGAACGATTTAACAAACTGCCATATTTTAACAACGTGTAATTAAAGGTTTGGTCGGTCGAATATGCATAAATCATGCGTCTGCCGCGAACTCCCCACCGAAATAGAGAAAAAATAAAAAAAAAACACATTAACTGGGCCTGCGCCGGAACATGAGAACGCTGATAGGTGAATTATCTACGCGGCGCTATCTGCTGGATCAGCCTGTTTATTTTTTTTAATGTTAAGAAAATTGAAATAAAAAACACAGATACATACATTTTCATAATTATTTTTACAAAATTTTGGATTTAAAATGCGATCATAATATCTATCTTTGGTTTAGATAATTTACGTTGAGGCTGCGACCACCTAACTCTCTAGCTATGGTTCTAGTCATTGGATACGACGTCTTAGCGATGTTATGACGATATATTGTTTTATGTTACTACTTCGACAAGTCTTTTCTTGGTCTTTTAGTGTATACACGTGTAAGTTTGGTGGATGAAAATCAAGTAACACCGCTGTCGATCCGTAATAATCATTTTTTATGTTTCCTTCGTTTCTTATTGAAGTAGATGCAAAAGTAGTAAAATGAAATGTAGATATAACAATCGTGACATAATGTCATATCCTATGCCTAGAAACATGTGAAGGCTAGGCGGTTGCACTCCCGAACATTGTTAAAAATAAGTTCACTAGCAGCATCAGTAACAAGTTGAGGAATTTCATGTTCAAAGTCAAAATATTATTTAGTCAAGCGAACTTTTCAAAAGCTTGATCGTCTGAAATTTATATATTGACCGCCCGTTCACGTCTTTTAGATGTTAAGTAAAACAGACAAGAAACTCAACTTATTACAGAAGTAGGGTTGCCAGACTTATTTCAGCCTGTAAGGGATAAATGTGCAAAAAATACTATTCAATTTATATCAGGATTAGGTAATAAAAAACAAAAATAATTACATTATTAATTACAATTAAAGTGCATTTTTTACATGTTTTAGTTGGAACTGACATTATAAAAAAACAATTAAAATCATACTTAAATACTGTACGTCACGCGAAATACGGGACATCTGGCAACACTGAACAGAAGCAACAGATAGGTTGTCTCGTGTTGCCATATGAGTCTATAGTCACTGTAATTTGCAATAATAGTTACAGGAACTCTTTTTAAGCTAGTATCCTCTTAATATCTATGATATTCTTGGCTATCAGAGTTTATTTATTTTGGGCTAATCAAATGTCGACTCAAATGTATCCTATGTTTGTGGATCAGAGTCTATATTATCTTAAGTGATGTTCAGTTCATGATCTTCTTAACTGTGCCGGCAAATATCAGTATCAATCAGTTCTTATGAAATGGGTAAATATTTATATCGGTGCTCGGTTAATGTGAAATGCTCGCTAGACGTAGGTATGTAATAAAACCTTTGTAATAAAGTATTATGGCCATATTGGGTATTATAAAAGTTTCAGTTAGTCATAACTAATAGCTGAATCTATGATTGCTTTTTATTTCGCAACAGTAGTATATTATGCAAAAAGAAATCCAGTAATAGTTAGAAGAACGCAAATGATAGTTTTCTTATGAATTTAGTTTATCTTGACTATATTTAATGGTTAATTCAATATTCAATTTCCAGTCATCATAAACATTAAAGTGGATTCAATTTGCCATACAATCAGTACAAATATTGCCGATATTGAAATATGTAGATAAGTTATCGAATACAAATAAACGTTACCACCTTTTAATAGCGGCTAGTAAAAGTAGACGTAACATTGTGCTCAGATCGTTTTCCCATAATGGACCATTTACATCAGGCCAGTAGCCGAGACAGTCCAGTATGCCAGACCAGTAATAGCCTCGAGTAAATGGAGGAAATCCTCAAGCCAGCTCAATGCAATAGAACATATTTTAATAGTACTGGACTGTTTACTTTTTGGTTAATGAAGAAAATCCTCAAACCAGTCCAATGAAATAGAACGATTTTTTATATTACTGGACTGGTTTACTTATTGGACTCGTGTAAATGGTCTATAAGAGTCGCGAAGCTCATAATTCACGAGTGTGGTGGGGTGGAGGCTGCGTCGCTACAAGGGGGAGGGGAGGGGTGCGCGCGCGCCGCTTGGGCCTAAGGGGCTAGCGGGGTCCGGGGCGAGGTGACAACCGCTCGTTACGTCTATCCCAAGCCAGTTATTAAAAACGTCTCGGCGCGAGCGGTGTGCCACCCTGTAATTATCCAGTTGATCCGTCGCGCTACGTTGTCACCGCCGGAAATGCAGTACGTGGATCCACCCGCGCAACAGGTCTGTTCGCCCGCCTACTTATATTCTGTACACGCCCAAGCATTGTGTTTACTTATTATTACAATTAACCCAATAATATCTAGATGTCTTTAGGTTCAAAGATCAATGTCTTTCGAAATTAGTATGTCTATTATACCAATATGATATTAAGTATACAAGATTGTTGTCTGGCCAGAAGTATGTTTAAGTTTTTTTTTTACATTAAACTCGCTCAAATAAGTATTCGTTGCAATTTGCTAATTTTACTTTTTTTTTCAGATGATGAATATGTTGCCCGCATATAGTTGCGGGTATGGACGAGGTGATACTTTGTCTCCTGCCTCTGATCTATCTTCCTGCAGCAGTGCATCATCAGGAGCTTGGTGCGGTGCTGGACCGTGGCGGGACTTGCCTTACCCGCAGTACTCCGCTTATTGGCCTCCAGCAGCGGCCGAAGAAGCCAGAGAACTTCAGCGACGCTGCGCTAAATGCCGCTGTCCGAACTGTCTAACAGAGGCCGCCGGTTTCGGGCCAAACTACGGAAAGGAAGGCACCAAAAGAGAACACGTTTGTCACGTACCAGGCTGTGGAAAAGTCTACGGAAAAACCTCCCATTTAAAGGCACATTTGCGTTGGCACACCGGCGAGCGTCCTTTTGTTTGCAACTGGTTATTTTGCGGCAAACGCTTCACGCGCTCAGATGAGTTGCAACGGCATTTAAGGACGCACACGGGAGAGAAGAGATTCGCTTGCCAAATGTGCACCAAAAGGTTCATGAGGTCGGATCACCTAGCGAAACATGTGAAAACTCACGCTAATGTATCAAGGAAAAATAAAAAAGCTAAGGAGGACGAAAAAGAAGAGGTGCTTAAAGAAAAAGCGGAACAACAATCCAACTCTGTCGTAGCAACTTCTGTCAGTGTTCCAGTGACGACTGTCGGCAGTACGAATTATGGAACTGTTCCTGTCGCGAACGTTCCTAAGCCAACATCTCTGAATTACGCTTCGGTCGCACCTAATGTTTCCGCTAGTGCTAACAGTTTTAACACGTATCCTAATGGAACAATTATGAGTGGATGGTATCCAGATGTGAGGCAAGAATCGTTGTATACGCGAGCGCCGGTTAGAGATCCTAGATATACAAGTGCAATGCAGTATCAGCAGTATCCCAGTCCGATATCCACTTACCAATGTGCCAGTAAAGAAAACTACGCCTTGTTTCAGGGGCACTATAATTTACAACCTCCAGTAGCTCTCGGACAATGACAATTATTGTAGTGTATCTCAGTGTGATGTTTTTGTGTCATGTATTGTAAATATGTGATTGTTATTGGTTATCAAATAAGGTTTGGGCGTTAACTTTTTTATTAATTTGTTAGTTACCACAAAATTCATTGTGATTTCTCTAGGTTATTATGAAAATGTGCCTCGGTGATTGTTAAGAAATTACTTGATATATAAATAAAATATTATTCAAATAAATTATATAATGCATTTAATTTTCTTCATTATTACAGCATTTTTAGAATGCATTTTAAATTAAGGATAATTGAAGAGATTTTTAAATAGTAAATTGTTTCATCATTAAACCTATTGAAATATATATCTTCTTACTAAAATGATAACGGTACCTTTGAGAGCTACTGCTAGCCAAATAACGTAAAATAACATCTATAAATAATACAAAATTAACTATCTCATGAGAATATGTGTTGGTCAATCGAAGTGCAGCAAACGCATTACGACTCGAACATAATCTGCTACGATTTTCGTAGCTACTACGAAATATTTTGAATTAATTTCTACATCATAAATGTTATCAAGTATAATAAGGTTGTGGCAATAATTTCCACAATATCAGATTTTTAAGATTTTACCAGAAATAAGATTGCTATCATGTTATTAGATTTTTTGTGGCAATTTAATGGAAACATTAGGATACTTATGACACAGTTAACATTTTCTATAACTAGGATTAATATCTCTTTTGACAAAATAGAATAGTAGCAATTATTGATTACCAGATCCATTTTTTGAAATTGATACTAACTTGAATTGGATATGTATGTGTGATCCTATTTCAAATTTCAGGAGGAATTGAAAAACTAATAACTTTTAGTTGTATGAAGATAGATTTTAATACCGAATAGATATTATTGAAAGTTAATAATGATATTCACTCATACTTATATTTTTATATTGGTCATCATTTAATATTCTAAAAATAAATGATTGAAACCGAACATCAATATAATATAATTATTTAATAATTATATTATATAATTATTAACTTTCTTTAGGTTGATTTGAATAAAAGTACTTGCAAATTATTACTTTCCGATTTAAGTAATATTTAAGGAGTACTAGAGCTTTTAGTATCGCTTCCCGACGCTAGATGGTGCTAGTTGTAGTAAAAGCTTCCAGCGTCGCGGATCGCTCGGTAATTGTGCTGCTATTAACTGGGCGGCGCTCGGCGCGCATGGCGGCGGTGCGAGCGGGATGCACTCGATAATACGTAAAACAAAACGAGGGGGTAATAATGGTAAAAAACGAGCAGCACGCAAATTATAGTGAGAAATGAGGCAGCCGGTAGCGGTGGGGGTTATGCCGGTGGGGGCTCGCCGGCAGTCGCGGCCGTTCGGCGCACGCAGACCGCCCGCGCCGCCTGCGCCGCCGCTGCCTCGCGAGTGTTGTGTTGTGACATGCGCGAACGCCGCCGCCATGAGCGGCAAGCCCTCCTCACCGGACCTGCTCATGAATGTGAGTCCAGCGATAATGCATTGCTCACGACACTCAACTCATTCTAATCGGGCTCTGATTCTTTTGCTTCTTAGTGTAAATATTTGGTGCTATTGGTACTTCTACCGACAATAATACGCCTAAAGGAATACTGTATATTGTCCGTAATAAGAGTCTAAAAGATAAAATACTAATCTTTATCGACTCATCAGTAAGTATTTCGAATGGTCATTTAGCAGCTGTTATAACAAAGGTAACTTAGAAGTAGGTATACATTAACAAAACCGAATTCATACTACATACAAATTCTATTTCACGGTTTACAAAGCGTGATATCAAGAATAAACACACCAAATAGGTGAGCTGTCGAAACGGTTTATTAGCCGGAGCACCCTCTGGGTATTGTCGATTTAGCACGCACCATAAGCGGTGCATTACCCGGCCGAGGACGGTCTCATGGGTCCGGACTCTATTACTATTCATGGTGGCCCCGGGGTCGAGAGTACCCGAACTAAAACTCCATATATGACGGTACACATTATGTGGAAATTTTCTCTATTTCCTACTTATGAATAGTAATGGAGAAATCGTACGCTGGCTTTTGAATAATATAGATCTTTTAGTCGGTCGTTGGAAACGATGAATGAATATTTAAAAAGGGAATATCAATAAAATTATAATGCAGGAAACTTACAATAAAGTAATTTATTTTTATTTATTTAAAAGTCAATAAAATCATACCCAACGACCTACCAATTTTTATTACAAACTAAAAAAAGCACAGAATTTATTTAAAAAGCCGTTTACATCACATAAACACCATTGTTATTATAGAAATGGCCTATTTAATTTAGTTCCGAACGTTATTAACAGTCAATAAAAACTATAGAAATGTTAATTCAATTAAGTCAAAAAGATGGTGGCCGCTCTTTCGAGGGCCGTGACGAATCCCTAATGACATACTGCCTCGCTCCATTTTCTACTCGATTTCCTATTCATATTAGTTTAATCTTAAAGCAGGACTACTGGCGCCAAAAATTATGCCGTGTCTGGTAGGTTAATCTGTTTAGTTATATTGTTCGTGCCGGTCTCTTTGTGCGGTGAAAAAGGAAGAAATTTATGCTTTTCGGCGCTGTGTGAGTTTTTTGTGGGGATGTAATTAATAATTCGGCGGCAAAACTAACAGTGTTTTCGTTGTTCCGTCTCGCTCTTGTGATTGATGTGCCCCGACGGATCCAATTAACGCCATTGAACTGATATGTATGTGCTTTACATTATATCACTGTTACAACTATTATGATGTTTTAAGCTTAAAATGATTTGTATTGAGTAGTGAATAGTATGTATGTTTGTAACATAATAATGAAAGTATTTGTGATAACTAATGTAGTATGTAAAAATATATGGTAGGTACACAATATTACTTGTATATTCTAAATTCTCTACTGAAGTATGAGGCATTACCAAAATAATTTTCAGGTCATTGCACAGTTATTGAAAACTTTAATTAATAACTACGGCTCAATTGCACTATAAGAGTAATTAAAGTTAAGGTTTATATTCATAATGAAAAGAATCAGTATAGCATTGTGAAAGAAAATTGATCAAATATAATAGTTAAAGTTTATGTCAAATTTGACAACAGCTGTCAAGCTGATTTTAAAATTGACCGTGATATACGTTGCACCGTCCTCTTTCTCGACATAGCAAAACAATAATTTTAACTTGTAACGTCATCTAAACCTTATTAAATAATGCAACTCATTATTTTCTTAGCTGGACTTTAACATGTCTGTTATTGTTAAAGTAATTTGGTGCAACCAGTCTTAAAAGTAAAAAAATATTGTAAAATTTACCTATATTTTTTATAATATGCATTTCTTTAAATTGATTTCATGTCTGCTTTATTTTTTACTTTGTTCCTTGCAGTTGTAATGGTTGTTATTCTATAAAGTTTTTCTTCATTATCAACCTTTAAAGATGGTTATTATACGTGCGTGTAGCCGTGGGAACTGTTATCATAAAGACTTGTTAAGTTTTCACAAAGTCGCTGATGTCAGTTTTTGTATTGATGCTTTGTTTTAAGTGTTGCGGTTGAAGGAGTGCAGCTATTGATAAAAAAATTATTGCAGCCGTACTATTTAGTGTAATGATTCATTTTTATAGTAAAGCTAATGGAATGCGAATTCTGTAAATAGATTGAATATTAAAAACATATATGCGACTAATAGAAAAAAACAAAAAATTACTGAAGTTTTTTAGATGAAACTTGGTACAGTAACGATACGGCTCCCTTTGGTTGGCTGTAAGTACAGGTTAAAGGACTTTTCCTGTGGACAAATCTAAACTGAGTAGAATGAAGATGTTAATATCAACAGCTTGCACAACGGGTTTTGATTTTCCCTTACTGCTCTGGTGCCCGTTCAAGTTCTCGACTAACATTACCGATTTCTTTTATTGAACATTATTTTTTATCGATTTTGCAAAGCTTTAATGCGAGTGGACAGTATTTATCATTCTTCTATAATTATCATGTAAAAATCATAGGAAATGAATACTAATTTTATAAAGCTAAAGAGTTTGTTTGTTTGTTTGAACGTGCTCATCTCAGGAACTACTGGTTCGAATTGAAAAAATATTTTTATGTTGAATAGACCATTTATCGAGGAAGGCTTTAGGCTAACATCACGCTGCAACTATGGAGCGAAGAAATAATGGAAAACGCGGGCGAAGTCGCTGGCGGCCACTAGTAATGAATAAAAGAATTTATTTGTAACAAATACTATTAATTTGGCACTAGTGTGGATTCATTTTTTAAAGTATAATCTGAACTAACTATTGCAAATCTTTATTAAGTTTGTGTTAACAATGGTGATTGAAAGCAAATGAAATGAAAGGAAAAGATTATAGATTTGTGTTTTCGAGCACCTGGTTCTAGCGAATATTTAAGTATTTAATATAACGATATAACATTCCAAAACGAACAGATGAAAATATCGAAAACATAATCTTAAAGTATATGAATACATGTTTCGTGATTTGAAATTTGTCGTCAAAAATTTCGTTTATACACTGTGTATTTCGAGGTGTTTCGAAACGTGTTCGACCGGAATACAGAGCCGACGTGGGTGCGGGCGAGTTGCGCCCGCGCATTAAAACCACAATGGCGCTTGCTCTAAACTTGTTTATTTACTAAAATCAAAATCATATCTAAAAAAGAAGAGAAATTTACTGTTGCTATGGAGAAATTGTCGTATTTTTTATTCAATTGATACTTTTGCTATAACAATATTATGATGGAAAATATCTATAACTCTATAATTATCGTATTTCTTGGTAATATTACTCTCTTAGAATAAACTCAACAAGAGAATCTAGAAATTTTCTAGTTGTAAGTAGTCCGCATTATACCAATCAAGCTGACTGTTTAGACAGAGGATGCAAGCAATTGGAAACAAGTGGACTATGTTATTTTGCGGCGGGCATACCGTTGCTCGGCGGCAAGGGTACTGGCCGTGGTCGCAGCATTTTAATTGGCCACGCGATGTTGCTGCTTTTCGACCATCTTTTTCTCCACTCCTCAAATTACTCTAAAGTGCTTAATGAGAGATGCGTGCAATTGCTGTTTCGCCGTACAAGAGGCTACTCTTATTTTACATAAATAGTTCAACTGGAACGAACTAATGCCAATTCTCGGTACTGTAATTGCGCCTGTGACAGGCTTCCGTCGCCTTCTAGGCTGACGTTCACCGCCAAACGCCGGCGTCGTCCAAATTATAGTTATTTCACATTAATAGCGTACACATTGAGTGCGTGCGCATGCGGCTGGCCACCATTGACATTTGCGGTGTACTAGCCACGGCTAAGTAACAATTTGAATGTCCGTGGCGCCTTACTTTCAACTACTGTATCCTATTGGTATTCTAGGCGAGACTTTTGTTAATTTTTTCAAAGTCTCAACCTTTGTAAATAAATAAAC